GGGAGTATGGTAGTTGAATGATGCTTCAGTAGACCTCATTCTATGAAAGGTTACAAACTAAGTTTATATATTAAGAAACTACCATCTTCTTTGGAAAAGGTTTGCCTAAGTTATTAAAAAAAACTAAAGATGGTCTTTGATCAAAACTGATTACAGGACCAAAGTGATGGATACATTTAGAAAACTACAAAGACAACAAATTAAAAAATATCTTTAATTAATAATTAAGATTTTACACTTTTTTAATAAATTAACATTTTTATTATTTTTATTATTATATTTACATTTTGATACTTATTTTTTTATGTTTCACCTATTACGATACAATGGAAATATTATTCACCCTAAACCTTAAATATTAAATGTCAATATGTCAACGAAAATTCAATATCATATATAAAACCGCCACGAGTTAGCTTGGTGGCCAATAAGAATCACATAAATAATAAAGGGTTTAGAGGGTTAGATGGTTGTCTTGTGAGAGTAGTTAAGGTGATCGATGTCTAACTCATAGACATGTAGAACTATCGATGAAAATGTTGACATGTCAACGGAAATTTAATGTCTTATATATAATCTCCTTAAGTTGACCAAGGGATAGATAGAATTAGATATATAATAGAGAGCTTAGAGGGTTAGAAGGTTGTCTTGTGAGAGTAGTAAAGGTGCGTTTTGCAACGTTCCTAACAATTTTACAACTATAAAAAGAGGTTTTTCTTCCACTTCTCTTTACCAAGAACTCGAGCTTTTATTCCTTTTAACAAGTTTAATATCCATTTCTTGGGAAATAATGTTGAAGTATGAGTCACTTTTGAGAGTGCAAGAATATAGTTTTTGTTTAATTAATTTTTTCCATGTATGTGACCAAGTATGAGTCACTTTTCAAGTTCATTGTTTGGTTGAGACCATAATATCTCGACGGAATGAACTATGTTCAAGTTGACAACTTCATTTCAATATTTTGTGTTCATCGAACTTTGTATGATTTTAGATATATTTTTCCAGATATCTTCCAAACAATTGGAGAGGTGTCACGTTTACTAGGGTCAAAATAAACATTCTCCTACCATGGAAATCTCAAAGACAAAATGGCATTCATTTCCTCAATCAGTAGCATCCTGCTAACCTAACGGTCCGTTGTAGCAAAGTAAGCTGAAAAAGCTCTTTCGAGATTCTTAATCAAGCCTCAACACCCTAATGTCTATCTTTAATCAGTCTTGAACCACGAAGTCCATTAACTAAGTTCTAGGGCAAGCCAATTTGATTATAGCAAAGATATTATGGATCAAATTATGTGCACTCTCTCTGTACAAGAAAAGCCTATCAAAAGAGAATTGGAAGGTTTGAGGCCTTGCCATATTTACAGATGCCAACACGATCAGATGCCTTCAATCAAATTTTATGGCATGAAAATTTCAGTCTAAAGGAGATGGCGATAATTTACCAGATTATTGACACTAAACTTCAATGGTTCTTCAACTCTTCCACTGAGCTCTCTTCTATCGTAGCAGGGTCAGAAGTTTGATTTCCTGCAAAACTGCATCAGAGAAATGGATTTAACATGAATGACACACAAACATAAGAGTTTACTACAATGAACCATGTAAAGATTGAGCTAAACTGACTCGAGAACATGGGATTGAGCTCCGTTAACGTTAGGGGAAGATTGAGGCAAATTCTGAACAATCAAGCCTGCACTTCCACCACCGGAAGCCACAGGAGACTCCGGTACCCTTACACTGCCTATAGCACTCATTCCTGCAAGGAGATTTTTACAAACATGAGATTATATTAGATGCTTCAGAACTATCCTCCTTTTGGCACAATGTCAATTTGAGAGCTTTTAGCAATTATAGTAAATTTGAAGGTGAAAGAGTATCTCAAACTCTCCTTGGTTGATTGTGTACAAGGTTTTTACTATCAATGCATTGTTCCTAATAGCCATGCCAAACAAGGGAAAAGAAGTACAGTCATGAAAGTATCGAAAAGTTGCAGAAAAATATAATTTGAACTACCCCATACCTTGAAAGATAATGACTACAAAGAAAAGCAATGTGATAAATAAGGCAGGTAAGCTGCTGTTGGATGAAGATGTTTTCTCTGCTTTCATCTTCTTCAAAGCTTTTATTCGCTCAACTGTGGCACGTTTTTTCACTGCCAACTCGGCGATCTCTTTAACAAATATCCTGTCAGCAGCATCCAACGACGGACCTCGTGGGGGTCGTGGTGGCTTGTGAACCTTTCCCTTCTTAATCTTCTCTTTCACGTTTTTCTTCTTCTCTACAAGAGCTGCAAATTCTCTTCTCTTTTCTCCCTCTAAACTGCCCATCAACAACTGCACATTCTCATCAACACCTAGCTTAACAAGCTTGGTGGAATCACTACTGGAAGCAAAGCTACCACTTCGATTTATAGATCCATCAGCACACAGAACCCCGCTTCGAAGCCTGCTAAAAGTTTTTCTAGCATGCATTTTGGATGTTGAGTCAGTTTCACTGCTCAAATCATCTTCGCTAGTATAACCACCACCTTCAAGATCTATTTCAAACTCTCTATCTTCTGTAGCCATATAATCTAAACTGCCCATCTAAAGAAGTTTTACTTTCCATTTCAGCAGGGCATTCATTCTACCAGGATCCTGAATCAAAGGGGTCTTCTTTTCTTCTCATCTTCTTCTTAACACTTCTGAGAACCCTTTCATGAAAAATAAACCCAAAACAACTTTAAACACATTTCTATACACGGAAAATTGTAACCATAAACTTTGGGCAATTTGTTCAGTTCATTTACTTCCTAAACTTTATAAAATGCCAATGACATCCTTAAACTTCGAATCATACTTCTTCTTTGTCCTCCCATACCATAACAACATTCAAGAATGTTGCTATGACATGGCCATTATCTATTAGTTACTAATCCCATCACACAAACTTCATTAAAACTTAAGTAATAAGCATGTCCAGTCAAATTTACATTGATAGTATTAACCACAATGACTAGATAGAAACACAAGGAAAAGCACAAATTGAATCAAATAAGGAGTCCCTCCTACCCCCACCCCATTTTTTCAGTTCTCTTTTCACGAATGACAAATGAAAATCAGAAAATGAATGAAACAAGGAGTGGAGTTAGTTTCTCCACCTGATTTCATTAAAACCAGACAACAGAGCATACAAAGAAAACACCGTACTCATCAAAATGAAGAACACTTGCAGTAGGAGGAAAAGGGTAGGGGATTCGACCAGTTTTTTGGACAATTATTGTTATTTTACTCTTCAGGAGAGAAAGAAAAACTCACCGACAAACAGTAAATCAATAAGAAGAAGCCAATTCCGGCATTTTCAAGCTAGAGTCCATGAAGGGATCGAACTGGAACATGAACAAACAAGAAAAAACCGAAAAAGAGATCAGGGGGATTAAAGAACAATAACAATAAAACTGAGATATGAACCCAGATCATGAAATGAGAGAGAACCCAGGTCGTGAAATGAGAGAAGAAAATTGAGAGAGATCTCTTTCAGATCTGAAATTGCGGGGCGCGGCGCCTAAAGAGCATTTGTACATTCGAAAAGTGGTTCTTTCTTGCCATTTATAACTATTTAACCATTTCTCGTCGTCCAACAACGATTCATTAAATACCTTCCTATTTCTCAATTTGAAATATACACATACAAATATTTTTGAAAGACCAATGGTAACATTACAATTTTTTTTTTTTTTTTAATATGAACACTTTTATAATAGATTACTCTGTTTAAGAGTTTTACATACATATAATTTAACCTTCTTTTATAAAAAGAAATTAATCAGATTGAACTTAGTTTATAAGTAAATAGATTTATACCTGTTTAGGAGATGACACCAAAATATTGCTTCTTTTTTTTTTGATATAGCAATGTCAATCATTTGTTCTTGGAAGGAAAAAGGTACCCACGTTGCATTAAATTAAATTTTAATTTATAAACGATGAATAAACGTGGGTTCTTGACTTTGGTTGTAATGAAATCAATCTAAATATATTTAATAATAACATGTCATCATTCAAAATAGTGTTTGGTAGAGCCTCTCTCATATACTACGCTTATTTTTCTTACCATTTCTCAATCACGGTCTTCACGTTTCCTAAGTAAACATCAAGTTCTTGATCAATTTTCACTAGGATTCATTTATAAACTCCCCTTCTAAATTTTTTAAAAGAAAAAGAAAAAGAAAATTGGGACTAAAAATAAAATAAACCAAACTATCTAAAAGAGAATCCAATGTATTTTCGTCGAAGCAACTTTAATATTTTCCACCGACTTCAATAACATCTTGATCAATATCCTGTTTACCAAATGCTTCAACTTACATCTACTTCCCATACTTTTCCAGAAACATTATTCAAATTAACAATCTAGTAGACTCGAACCTGTTCTAAGTCGAGGCATTTTAGAATTCTTTGTTGACCCGGACAAAGTAAAAGAAAACCTCTGAAATTCTTCCAATATTAGACCTTATCTAATAGTTCCGAATCAAATCCCTTTAGAAAGTAGATCTTTTGTCTCACGGTAGCATGCTCCGGTCCCCTTTAGAAACTATTAAAAACTATCAAACCCATGTTCCTTTTTCAAATGAAGAAAGCCAAAATAACACCATACATTAAGGATGAGAGGATTCCTCTTTTCACTACAGCAAAATATATTCATTTTCCAGCCAAGAACATATGTGGATCGCGAAGAGCCGTGTGCATGACCCATGCCTATGGTATTATGGTTGTGGAATTCTGGAAAATAATTTACAGTTTCAGAGAAGCATATAAACATAATCTATAGACTGTCCAACATAACAGATTTATAAACACATCAACTAGTAAACAATCCCACGCTCTCAAGCCAGGATAGTCGTGGTAACAAGTTGGTAAACTTAATGATCGAAAAACTAACCTAAAGCTTCCATGGCTGTGAATGACTGCTTGAATACAGTCATTCCGCTGCTGCTCGACAACCAGATAGGGAAAACAGTAGAAACAAAAGTATGCCAAGGTGATATTCAAAACTAATTCAAAATCTCAATCATTCATGAGAACACATGAACTTCATCTGACTAATAAATCCAAGATGACATTCCATGCCACTGTTTACAACAAGTTCCGAACCAGCCGAACTATCAAGCTTAATGACAAAAACAACTGGAAGTAGGCTGCACGAATGCATACCATTCTTATCTACTCGGTTCAAGATTGTAAGATACATACTTACCTTTCATTAGACGTTCCTCCATTCATTATGCCTACCCAAGATGGATCTGAATCCTGAAAATTTTGGAATGAAATTAAAGCTATTGCTAGCTAAGCGGCCATTTGCTGTAAATTAAAGTTGCACACGGAAAACGTCAAAATAACCTTCTAATGGGCATGGTCTTGAGTCCACGCACGCACTCTATGGAGTAATATGAAATTGGGTATGGGGATTGCGTATTGCCAGCCAAACGGCCAAACGGCCAAACCAAAAAGATAGAGATAACTAAAGCCCTTTTCATTTGGCTGAAGGGTTAGACTACTTACCAACTTACTTCCAGGTTAACAAATTAGTATCGTTTGTAAGCATTCCCGTAATCATCACGCCTCTGACGCTGGAACTCCCCAAAATTACCATGAGGCCTTGAAGGATAATTCTCCATATGATTCTGATACTTGCTCCTTGAATCGAGGGCCGCTAAATTAGCCCCTTCGTAATGGGAATTGACTGATCCACCGTCGTATTCAGAATAGTTATGCTGCTTATAACCAGCAAAACCTGAAGCGGCCATTTGCTGGTGCACTTGTTGCTGACGCCTTTGGGCATCAAGTTGGAGAAACTCATCCCATTGTTTTGCATGTGTGCCCCTCAAATGAGCCAATTTCTTCGTGTAGTTCTCTCTCATCTCCCTTATAGTCTTTTTATAGAACCATAAGTAAAAACCACAAATTTGAAATTAAAATAACGAAATGTAGGAATTTTGTCATGTAAATAGATCCAAATGCAACATAGGAAAATAGAAAAATACACCAATTGCCATTCGATGTATGATTGCAGTAACAGGAGATCCATACCTCACGGTGTTTATAATTTTCTTCATCTTCTTCTTTATCACGAATCTTTCCGAGTTCAGCTGCTTCTCTTTTATATTCCATCTCTAATTCTTCAAGAGACTGGGGAAAAGCTGGATACTCGAACTGACGACTAGATTGCAAATCAGATCCTCTTCTTTCACTATCCCATCCTTCGGTTCTACCATATGCACTCTTGTTCTGATAAGTATCAAATGAACTAAACGAGCTGCCAGAATAAGGCAGATTAGCCGGAGACTTGGAGTGGCTTGAACGACCTCTAACTCTGTCACTGCCATAAGCTTCAAAATAAATGAAGAGCAATGTTAAAATATATTAATGCTAGCTTATGACGTGGCCAAATCAAAAGTGAACATCATAAAAATATAAAATCATATGAAGAAACCATAGGAGGAAAAATAACCCGGATTCCTGTTCATAAAATTATTTTGTTTTGAAGACAACCTGACCAATTCAGATCCTATCCCTGAAAATTACTTCAGAGTCGCATATATAAGCTTGAACAGAAGAACTTACCTCGTGCTGCAAACAAATATAAGCAAGAAATAGCATTGTTAAGGAGATAAAGAGAGAAAATTATTTATACAAATATGGAGAAAACAAAGATAGCTACAAGCTACAACATAGAATTACCAGCTTTCTATTGATGTCTTTAACATATCCTATGCTTTTCCTACCTTGAACCGAGCCCCTTGAATATTTCTGCAGATCATCACGAACACGATTTTCAACAACCTTCTCCTGTCTGCTATACCTGGGTTGAAATTGTGATGCATTTGTAGGACCAGAATGTGATCCATGGACGTCAGAGCGTTGTGACCTTGAACCAACTGGGCTTCGATCAGGTGACCTGGATCTACTCACATGAGAACTAGAACCCTTTTGATCGCCTTCCTCCTTTATTACCTTGTGGACAGCATCCACTCCCTTTTTCAAAATTAACCTGTCCTTGCCACTAACAATTATGAATTTCTCATCCATCTTGATCTTACAACCATTATCCTTTTCAATTTTCTGTACTACTCTATCAGTGAAAAGTGCTCTCACATGTTTATCCCTGGCTGGTACCCTTTCAAAAAAATCTTGAGATTTACGATTTGATCCCAAGGTAGAAGGGCATCCCTATACATAAACAAAAATTGCAAAGTACCATTAGTTAAAACAATGATAACCCACTTGAATTCTACTTTTATGCGAAGAAAGAGTTGTGATTTTAAAGAAAATAAATAAGTTCCAGTAGGTCTAGTTCTCGTAGGAAAATTATCCTTCAATTAAAACAAGTCATAAAGCACCAAATACTCTCATTGCCTCCCCCTTGCACGCAAGCAATCACACACGTCTATATGTGTGTGCATGAGAGAGAGAGAGAGAGAGAGAGAGAGAGAGAGATAACTTTCAACTACTAGACAATGCTTGTAGAGATTTTATTGTATGTACTCTCTCTTTCCCCCTTCCTACTCTCTCTCTCTCTCCCTCATCCTTGCTCCCTATGTACGTCTGTATCAATACATTTGATGGAGAACCATGCTTCATGGAAGATATGATTCTTTACCTAATCACTATATTTTAGACATTCTCACCAATCATCTGGTGAATATGTTCTAGAAAAAAAAAAATCGAAGTAACATCATTGGTGCGACTACAAGTGAAACCTTTTTATTACTTGGCCTCCATGATCAACTCCCAATTCAAAATTTTGAATGGAGCTTTTTGCAATTTTGCGCATACAGCATCAATAGAATGGTATATCAAGTGATATTATTTTGGGTGTGCAGCTTAAAAACCATGAAGCCACTTGGGCCTTCATAGTTGTGAGTCAGCTATGTGCTGCATTCTGCCTCAAGATAAGGTGAAGGTTGGTTTGGTGGATAACAGGGAAGTTGTATGATCATTCAAGAGTTCATACACAAGAAGTTCAGTCAGTTAGGAAGGAATGGAAGAGAGCCGGTAGGAGAACAAAATATAAAGAGTAGTGGGCTAAGGAGAGCAAGTCTCTAGACTTCCTAGGGATTAAATAGCCAGCAATTGAATAAACTTCTCTCGTTCAAGTTCCAGATCCTTACATGTAGCGTGTCCCACAGAAAAAACATATTATATATAAACTTGAAAGAAGACTACAAATAGAACAAAATAAAAGTAGAAAAATGAGCTTGACAATGTTTTAATATGCTAGAAGGAATTTCAGTTGTTTCATAGAATGCTAAAAGGTCAATCATTTGAACATAACCCCCCCCCCCCCCCCCCCCCCCACCTCAAAATGATTTATCCCTGTGTTCCAAATGAGTTCAAAAACAGCCTGATACAAGTGAGATTACAAAACAGAGCTCCTCTCTAGTTGTGAAAAATCTATGTGCAATAACTTAACGAGATCAGTGAAGTGTTTATAGTACCCATTATACCTGAGTAAAATGGCCTGATTCTCCACATATTTTGCAGATCATTTCTTCCTCTTTTCTCTTCTTCCAATTCCTCTCTGTAGCTTTAGACTTGGCCTCCCAAACCTTCGCTTCTCGACTGGTAAAATCAGTTGGTACAGCATTGGGATCACGAGGTTCATCCTCCTCATCTGAACCTGCATGAGACCTTTTGTTTGTACTCATCTTCTCTTGTGCAGTGACAGAGGTCGATCGTGGAGGGCCAGTGTACTCCTTGTAGAGCTCACTAAAGTCATCATCCGCATCCGCATCTGGTGAATTCGCCATCAAAAGAAGAGAAAATTCAGTCGAGCACCTGCATTTTATCACCACAAACCCGTAACCACCACTAATCAATGTCCAGAAAAATGTCAACCGGCAAGTTAGGCGTACCAGAGTGAGAAAAAAATACCCGTCTCCCATTTCAGACTAAGAACTCTTGAATTGGGAAAAGACAATAAAATAAACAGCTAGTATTAGATAGGGAGGAAGGAAAATGTGTTATACTTGCGAGAAGTTCAAAAAAAAAAGTCTAATGATAATGAAGTGACATTCATAACCCTCGTCAGTTGTGTTAGATGCACGTAAAAGCTAACAGTACCATTGTCGGAGAGAAGGAAATAAACCAGGAGAAGAAAATCTCACTGGGTATCCCATCAGACAGTTACCCATATCCTAATTCTAACATTTAGGTTCAGATATAGGTTAATAATTAACTCGCAATAACTTGGGCAATGTTTTCATTTCCACTCGCAACTCACAATCCAACGCCACAACTCCCTTTGGCCGGAAGAAGGCGAGAGAGAATGTGGAACGCATCGTCGCCGGAGTAAAACATTGAACACTTAAATTAGTAAATAACATCAGGACAAAGACGTAATGTCGCAGCATCAAATATCAAAGCATAAATTTACAGTCAGCTACTACGAATAAAGAACTTGAGATTGAAGCAAAACTGAAAATATGTAAAGAACAACGCGGGGGCGAAGAGAAAGGTTTGTCGGAGAGAGATAAAGAGACCAATAGAGATCGGAAAGAAAAAACCAGGGCAGCATAGAAGGGGAGGTGAAGAGAAGGGCTAATTAGAGAGAAATTGTTTCTGAGGGCAACAAATATTCCGGTAGACGTGAAGGAGGAGCGGAAATCGGAAGAGGGAAAGAAAAACGACGAAGAGAAAAGCGAAAGAAAGAAATATACCTGAAGACCGGAATGTACAAGACGAAATAGACGAAGGGAAATGATAAATACCTTGTCGCCGGAGTGAAGAAGCTGCCGGAGGAGAGGGAGGGGGTCCGTGTTATATGGCTCGAACTACCGCGGAATAAAACCAGTGATTTCGATAGGGTTTGAACGGTTTGATGGTATTGATTAAATTACCTATACGCCCCTGCGATTTGGTGTATTGACATTTAACTCCTCGTACAGGAAGTTTCTAGAAGGTTACAAGGAAAGTTCATCTACTACTAAACTCAGCCGCTGGGAGTAATTTTAAATTTAGCTAATAATATGATTTTAATTACTCAAAAATTTAATATCTAATATTACACTGTCTAGAAATATTAATTTTAGACTTACATAAATGTGTAATTTTAGTCTTAAACTTTAAGTTTAAATACTATTTTAATCTCTATTCTTTTGAACTTTAATTTATTTTATTTCTCGTGCTTTAATTTATACTCATTTAATTCATGTATTTTTATGGTGTTCTAGAAAAAATATCACTTTAATCTTTCATTTTTCTTCTTCTCTCATTTTACAATAAAAAAATTAGCATTACACTTTGTTCGTTAAATTTATATTAAAATTTTATAAATAGAGATCAAAACGTTAATTTCAAAAAAATAAATAAATTTAAAATGACTAAGAACATTATCTAATTTAAGGAATGATCGTGAGTTTATAATAAAAAAATATTATCTCCATAACTCAAACCAAAGGCAATACTTTTTTTTTTTTTTTTTTTTTTTTTTTTTTTTTTTTTTTTTTTTTTTTTTTTTTTTTTTTTTTTTTTTTTT